CAATACTATCTTTGACTTTATTACTGAGCTCCAGGACAGCTTCCAAAAACCGAACTCAGGCATAAATGCTATAGAAGACTATTCACACAACAACAACATACTGTTATTCTTTCCCCCACTATTTTAGCAATATGATACAGCATCTTTCCAAATATAATCCTTTTAAAATCCACATGAAAATATGGAACAAATAAACCAGAAACATAGATCTTAGAATTGTGGTATGACTGTTGTCCAAGGGAGGGCTGCTCAGATGCACACGAGCACTGAATCAGCAGGGGGAAGTGGTCAGGATTGAAAAAGACTCAGTAAAAAGGGAGGTGCCGCCAAGGCTCTGCGCCTCTTACACTTTCTAAAACCAGTTGCTAACGGAAGACTTATAGCAGGAGTAAGGGAGTGTTTCCCCCCACAAATCCCACAGAAGGGTAATTTAAGCTCCAAAACTTGCTAACTGCCATATATATGGGGTAGGGCTGCACTTTTAAATTTCATTTTATGTACTTAAAAAAAGAAAGTGCCTTTTATACAAGAGTAAACAATCCCAAATTAAGCTAATACCTTAATTTTAAAAAGGTTTTTAAACTTTGTTACATATTGATATAATATTCAAAATTTAAAATTTTCAATGAAGAGTAAAGAAGCTTAACATGTAGCTTTGGCTTTTTTTTTGTATGTTAAAAAAAAAACCCTGCTACATTTTTAACAGAAAAAAATGTGAGCACCTTACATTTAGAAAACAACAATTTACGCTGTACTCCCATGGTTCTAACATAAACCTAACCGGCATTTCCAAGTATCGCCATCTAACTCTTTATTTCTCAAATTAAAGTAACTTTAAAACTTAACAAAAGTACAGCAAAGGATGAGGTGACTCCCCACCTCATCCTCCCCCGCTATGTTTCATAAGGTCTAAGTTCATCTAATTGGACACACGGAGAATAAATGCCTCCAACACTTTTCTGGGGAAGTTTCCAGAGGAAAATTTCACAACTTCCTTTCACAGCTATTTGCACTGTATTCTACAAAGATCTATAATCTCTCTTCCTTTAAAACTATTAAGCTTTAATTATCAAGTATAAAGAATTAAAGGGGGCTAAGGGAATGGGTGACAAAAAGATTTTAGGGGGAAGTGTTAGGAAATTGGTACTATATAGGAAAAGTACTTGACTTGTCAAAAAAAAAAAGTGCACACTGACATAAATGTTCTACATAATTTTCAAATGTTTGATAACCTGTAGTATTTTTTAAAGTCTTGTAACAAAACAATTTTGCATTCTCAAAATTAAAACAACCTCAAAGTTTCTTACCTTTACATTCCATCCAAAAACAGGTAGTATTAGCGATAGTATTGCTAGCATTAACACAGGAAATGCAGCTGTTACGGTTTTCACAGGTTTCTGGGGTAGGGAGGAATGTAAGAAATCAATTAATTGGCAACTGATATTGAGTTTGTATTACCATTTTTTCTTTAACACAGTAAGCGTTACATAGGAGGCTTACTAGTTCAGAAAAATGGTAATACTTTATAGCCTATCAATAGATGAAAAGGTAACAAACATGTAATTATACATATACAGTGAAATGTTATTTAGTCATTAAAAAAGGGAAATCCTGTCATACACTGCAACACCGACAGTCCTTGAAGACATTATGCTACATGAAATAAGCAAGTCACGGAAGGACAAACACTGCATAATTTCATTTTTATGTATCTAAAATTCTCAACTCAGCCCTGATCACCCTGGCTCAGTTGGTTGACAGTCGTCCAGCAAAAGAAACAGGTCCCTGGCTGGATTCTGGATCAGGGCACATGCCTCGTTGGGGGCCTGGTTCCTGGCTGGGGCATGTGCAACAATTCAATGTTTCTCTCTCTTTCTCCCTCTTTCTCCTCCCTACCCCCATCTCTAAAAATAAACAAATAAAATCTTAAATAAAAGAGTCAAACTCAGAAGCAGAAAAGTAGAATAGTGGTTGCAAGGCACGAGGGCAGAACAGAGAACAGTCCAAAGACTATAAAGTTTCATGCAAGATGAAAAATTTTAGAGATCTATATATCATTGTACTTACAGTTAAAACTTATAATACCCTTAAGAATTCACTGAGGGTAGATCTTATATGTTTTTTTAAACCACAAACACACAAAACTTTGTAAACTGGTTAAGAAATTCCGATTGTTTAAATGACTTACGAGGCCCGAGTCAATGAGAGAGAGAGAGAGAGAGAGAGAGAGGGAGGGAGGGAGGAGAAACACAAGTTAGTGGAACACTGAGTACTTCCTGGTACCTATTTAAAACCCACCCCTTTTACATGGCAACTCTTTCACACACAGAGGATTTCGTGTTGCATTTTAAAGCATCCTTAAAAAATAAAAATATTGGAGAACAAAAAGGACAGTTACGAGGCCAACAATATAAACAGAGCGATCACTGCCCCAAAACATCAGATGAAACACTACAATTTTTAATAGTAATAAAAATGTATTATGGGTTAAGCCCAAGATTTGATGATGCCCATTCTGAAGAACCCCAGAGACTCATCATTAATAAATGATTCACTCTTTCCAAGGTCCTCTAGGACCGAAGAATAAGAGACAACACATTTGGAGGGGGCTACAGCCATGTACATGTAATTTAACAAATTAGTAAGATCTTTTTAAATAATTTAAGCCAAATGTCCCAGAAACAAGACTTCAAAGAAGGCTAAAATTACAATTCAATGTCTGGACAAATAGACTATAAAACCGGGCTTACATTTCCATACTTCATCATCAGTATTTATCCGAGACTGGGGACATGTGTGGGGGGAGGGGTTAAGTCTTTCAGAGGTTTGTACACAGATGAAAAATGCTAGTTGTTTAAACTCTCGTGTTTGATGATGAATGTTTGGGTAGCATAGCATGATACAATGAACTGAACCCTACCTTTCAGACTGCAGCCTATACAACTACCACTTACAGAAAACACAAATCATCTCCTTTGTATTCATTACATTACACAAAGGCAATTAACTTCATATTTCCAAGCTTCTCTTTAAAAAACAAAAAACACAACCAAACTACAATTCTGAGAGGAAACTGCCAAGTAATTAGGAGATGAAACATATGCCACTTTATCATCTTAAAAATGGGGCAGGTTAGGACTTCCAGTATTGAACTTCCATTTCCTTTCATTTAAAAAACTTAAAATGTTACCATTACATCACTCTGAATCTAACAAATACTTTTCAGTTTACTAATATTTTATTAAGCTTTTATAAAATACAAAAACTAGGGAAGATATTGTACAACAGTATGATCAACCTTAAGAAAAACAAGGTAAAAGCTGGCGATTATTCATTTCATCAAAATGCCAGTTACTTACCCACTATTACCTAGACTAACCAGCCATACTAGACTGCAAGTTTCATATACCTAGTTTCTTCACCTTATTATTTCAAATTTATCTTCCATTATTTTCTGTATTGTCACGACATTGCCAAGGTTCAGAGTATGCCTCAACCAATAGACTGCAAAGACTAACATAAGGGGGTGTTCCTGATTGGGGTCTAGAAAATCGACAGACCTGGTTCCATACCCAGCTTCACAATATACTATACATACGGTCCCAGCAGTTACTTCCGCTCTACTTCTCGGGTTCACCACCTACCTTCCAGTTTAGCCTAAGAGACATACTCGAAACACTGGATACACGAATGGGTACTTTTCCTCGTTTGCACGTAGCACGGGGTGTAAAGTTTTAATTAAACGCTCAAACTTAAGGTAAATCTCATAACTATCCGCAAAATTAAGGTAATTAAATCCCAGGCGACTTATTTCTCAGACCCAAGTCTCAAGACACAAACGAGAACCAGTATCTTCAGTTTCCCCTCCCCCCTTCTGCCAACTTTTGAAGAAGCCTCCCTTCGGTCTGAAGACCTGGGTGGACAAAGGACTAACCTTAGGGAGAGGGAGCTCGGTCTCCTCATCAACTTAGGAGACGCGTCGGCTTCCCCCATGATCAATCCCAGTGCCGCCACCACGCAAGGAAGCCACGTCCCTTCTTCCAAGCCTGCGGCAAGGTGGCGATTTTATAATCTCCAGTTTTATAAAATACCTCGAACTGAGAAACTAGGGTTATAAACTCTGTAAAGGCCCCCAAGGGCTCCGCCGCCCCTTCTCACCCCGGCGCTTCGCCACCCCAGCCACCCCGAGCCCGGCCCCGACTGGACTAGGACGGGCCGCCATGTTGCCGGAGCGTGGACCATGGGCAACAAGGGCAGCTCGCCCGGGCGAGAGTACGAGGGGGAGCAAGAAGCCGGCTGGGCCGGCACCCACCTGGTACTGGAATGGTGACCGGAACGGGGGTCGTCGACGGCATCGAGAGTGAGTGGTTGGTGGTCGCTGAAGTCGTGCTCGGGGCCAGGGTAGTGTTCCCAGCCTCGGTCAGCACACAGAGTACGGCTCGGCAGACGACAGCCCAAAGCAGCAGGCGGGAGAGCCCCGACATCGCGCCCTCACCGTCCGTCTTCTGCCCAAAACTGCAGCGCACAACGCTCGGTGAGCACCTCAAGCTCCTGCAGGACCTCCTTGCACACTCTACTCCCCCTGCAGGAACGCGCTGGGGTCACGTGAGGGACCCTAGCCGTTGCGGGGGCGTAGCGGGGCGGAGCCAGCGTGTAGCCGATACCAACTGGAATACTACGGGAGGGCATCTAGAATAAACCGAGGGAATAAACCGTTGTCCCCCAAAGAGACTGTAACATTCCAAGACACCGGAATGTTGTAAATATGAAAATGGTTTTTTTACTCTAATATTACCACACGGGACGTAACTGAGCTTTTCTTTTTCCTGCAATAAGGAAAGCTCCCACCCTGGCTTGGATGGAACAACCTACGTGACGTAGAAATGACGTCAGTCCAGAGCGACCAGTAAGACTGTAACTGCTGCAGCCCCACGTGACTTCAGGGCCTCGCTTTCCGGACTTGAGTTGCCCAGGACGGAAGTTGTCTCTGAAGGGTGCGTTACGACAGGGTAACATTTAAATTTGGGCCGTGCTTCCGCCTTCCCAAGGTCTTGAGTATATATGTACTTAATAGGACCCGTGCTTTTTACCTTAGAAGTCGATTTTTCTGGAAGTCACCCCGTGTTGGGACTCCTTGGGGAAATGGAGACCACGTGGTTAAGGGATTTCTGCCCCGCCGCCCACGTTGGGTGAGCCGCGAAAACACCGAAAGTGGTCTCCTGCCTTCTTGCCGGGGCCGCACACCGTCTCTTACACACTATCCTAACATGACTTTTCCGAATTTCTTCTTGCTATTTCAGTGTTAGCAGCAGCCTTAGTCAGAAAATCGAAGACGGATCTGAATTGGAAATCCATCTGATGGCTTCCTATCTCAACTTTGCAGGTGAGTGAACAGATTCATTAGTGACTGGACCAAAACACACTGATTGCTTAGCGTCAGGGCTTGATTTAGAAATGCCTGTTAATTTTCTGTCGCTGCTCAGGCTTTTTATTATGGGTGAGCGCCATCTGATGTCCAGTCTCACAGAAACATTCACAAGTGAAGCCATGCTGACATCAAATGGTAAAAATTGGACTGTAAAAGCTAAGTATCTAATGTCTGTTTTCAGCTATTTGTGTTTATCATGGTAACCTTAATCATGCACATTTACTCTAATAAAATGCACACGAACAGCAATTGCTTTTGAGAGATCTACTTTAATATGAAAGCACCAAAAGGATATCTGCATAAGTGCTGTTAAACAAAATCTTTGAGGCCAAAAGTCCTGAAAGGGTTTGTTGAGCTTGTGCTAATCAGGAAAAGGACCAGGTCCTAGGATATGTAGTTTGAACCATCAGCAGCAGCAGGGCTTAATGGAGATGACGGACATGTCCACCGTCTTGGGGTTGATGGGGACTGGAGGTGCTGTTTTATACAATGAGTTTGAAGCAGAAAAATAAGTTTCAAGAGAATTTACATTGACTATACATAAGGGATAAGCCCCAGAAATCTGATTTTAGAGGCTCGAGCACTGATGCACACTGAAGAAAACGAACGTGTGATTTAGCACATTTTCAAAGCTCCCTATCAAATACCAAACTTCGTAATTTGTTGTATATGTTACTATTGAGATTGTTACAGATATTTTGTATGTTGTATGAAATGTATTTGAAATATGGACTGATTAGATTTGTAAGTTTTAAGTTGTGATTCCATTTTGGGAATGGTAATAGATAGTACTAATCACTAAAGTACTAGCTTAAAAAATGAGTTTCCATACAGGAGAGAATATCACAAGGTTCGAGACATCAGTTTTAATTTTGAGTATGAATTAATTCAGTCAGTTGAAAATTAACGATGTTAGAATGGCTAATACTAAACACAACAGGGGCTCGATGTTTCTTGATGATGCTGTCCTGTTAGTGGCAGCTTGACTGTTTTTGTGTGAGTTGATATTCCAGAAGGGAAACCAATTTTTAAGTAATATCTTCTGTGGGTCAAGCACTATGGGAAGTATCTTCATATATTATCTCTGTTAATATTCAGACCACTATGAGATAGATGGACCCTCGTTTTTACTAATGAAATTGAAGCTCCAAAGTAAGTAGTGATAGTTAGTGATTGTATGAATTTATTAATGGAAGGGAGCTAACAGCTTTTTCACTTCTCTGCTCTTCTCACAAATGAGGGAGAGTTAAAGGTTAAGTAATTTAACTGCCATAGTGCTAGATAGCTGGGACTAAAACATGCCTAATTTAAAATGTGTATAAAGTAGAAAGATTTAGACTAGGATCCTGAGGTTACCAGCCTAATCGTTCACTGACAAATAACTGGCATTGTTTACAGTTGGGGGAAATGCTTTATATGGAATTTAAGTGTTTCTTAAATTTCCTAAAATAAGAATGTCCATATACCACATTCTTTTTATTAATGTGGCTTAGTGTAAGATGCATACAGCCTGTGTACTTGACTGTGACATATCAGCAATTAGGGCAAGGTCATATAACTAACATTTTGTATAGATCATCAGAATGACTACTCTCATATTTGTAGACTTGGAAAAATCTAGAATTCCTTCTGTTTAATCAAATTACAGTTTTCAATTTGGTTAAGTTAAAGTCTTATATTTTGGAGTTAAGTGGGATAAGCTTTGAGTTCTTTGTAACAATCAGTTTCTCCAAACATGTTTAAAAATACAAATCATTCTAATACATACTATGTTCTGATAGAGAGGTATTACTGTGTGTACCTTTAAGTGGGGGTAATAAGAACCAATGCATGTACAAATCAGCAAAACTTCTTACACAGCCTGAGACTGGAAAGTGAGTGAGAACTAATGGCCTGTGAATGTGCCATTCTTTAGAAAGTTTGCAGTGTTCTCCCTTTACACTGCAGCTAAATGAAAAATAAGGGAGCTAGAATCAGTTTCTTACACCCATGCAGATAATCCAGTTCTTTCACATAAAATACTTAACATCGTGATGTACAGGTTCATTGTCAGTAAGAATTACTCTGCTCCCTGTTATTGTACGATTAATTCTTGTAATGTGTTTTAACCAGGATCTCTGCAAAGCATTGGTTTCATTCATCGCATGCTTCATTAGCTGGTGAGAGTCCCTCTGCTCCCTGCTTTGAGACGTACCCAGTGTGACCACAGGAACCCATCCAAAGGCCCAGAGAGGATCTGGAGGCTTCAGACAACAGCCTGAGTTGTCAGGTTAAAAGAGAGGAAGAGGAGATAACCCCTCTTCAGTGATTCCCAAATCTGGCTGTCAGTCAGTCGTTGAGGGGCTTTTGAAAATACAAGTTTTGGACCAGAGGCCACACGGACAGCTGGCACCATGTTTGGCTCCAGCAGAGGCGGTGTGCGGGGTGGGCAGGACCAGTTCAGCTGGGAGGATGTGAAGACTGACAAGCAGCGGGAGAACTACTTGGGCAACTCGCTGATGGCCCCAGTGGGCCGCTGGCAGAAGGGCCGTGATCTCACCTGGTATACTAAGAGCCGAGCAGATAGCACAGGGATGAGTCGGGAGCAGGAGCTGGCGGCCGTGAGGCAGGCAGAGCAGGAGGCACTCATGGCGGCACTGGGCTACAAGAACGTGAGGAAACAGCCCACAGGCCTCAGCAAAGAGGACTTTGTGGAGATCTGCAAGCGTGAAGGAAGTGACCCTGAGGAGAAGGGAGTGGATCGGCTCCTGGGCCTGGGGAGCTCAAGTGGCTCTGCGGGCCGAGTGGCATTGTCCCGAGAAGACAAGGAGGCAGCTAAGCTAGGACTCCCAGTATTTACACACCATCGAGTGGAGAGCAGTCGGCCTGGGGCCTCCCCGGCCCGGAAAAAGCCCAGGCCAGAGGAGAAGGCAGAACCAGGCCCCCAAAGTCACAAGAAGAGCAGGAAAGAAAAGAAGAAGAAAAAGAAGCACAAGAAAGAGAAGAAGAGAGAAAAGGAGCACAGGACCAGGGCAGCCTCCTCACCATCCCCGGCTCCGTCCAGGGCTCGCCATCGCAGGCACGATTCTGACTCCTCGCCCTGCTGCAAGAGGAGGCGAGGGCATGACAGTGACTGAGGCCCAGCTCACTGGGACCCTGCCTACCCCACACACGCTCCATCCTCAGTGAAGCCTTTGAGCACGTGCCCTGCCAGGGAACTGGAGGACAGGCTTGTGGGAGCCCTGCCAGGCCTCTGTGAGCAAGCAAGGTATCCAGGTAGTGCCTCACCCCCAGATGGCTGCAGGGCCAACCAGGATGGACATACCTGCCTTAAGGCTGCAAGAACTGCTACTTCTGTTTTCTTTGTGTTGACTCATCCTTTGTGCTTAAATAAACTTACTTTTAGCTGAACAAAAAATGCAGGTCCCTGAAGGTTACACACTGGTAATTTACTGAGCCCTCACAGTGTAACAGGCCCCACTCTAGGTCCTGTCCACAGGGTACTGATTCCTTGAATCCTCACAGCTCTCTGTGGTGGTTACTATTTTGAGATGAGGAAATGGAGGCACAGTGGATTCTTTTGCAGCTAGGGAGTGACAGAGCCAGGATTCACACCCAGGCTGCCTGCCTCTAAGACACACATCCTTAACTGTTGTCTCTGGGTCAGTTGAGAATGTGCCCATCCACTTCAGATCTTAGTATAAAACCATATGCTATATTGTAATGAGCTATTATATTAAAGAGTATGTGTGTGTATAAATATATAACTATGCCGATTTTCAGGAGTTAGGGATGGTAGAGGGCAGGGCATTAGATAGAACTACAAAGGGGTAGGTAGCCCCAGGGAAGTCTCTGTAGTACTGGGAAAGTTGTGTCTTGGTGTCAGTCACATGAGTCTACACATGATGAAATGACAATGTATGTTGTACCTATGTCAATTGCCTATTTTAGTGTACTGTATTGTAGTTGAATAAGATGCACATTGGGGAAACGGGGTGATTGGTACACTGGACTGGTCTGTACTATTTTTGCAACTTCCTGTGTATCTGGAATCTTTTTTTTTTTTTTTTTAAATCATACTTACCTTTGGCAAGCCCCAAGTCATTTAGAGATCTGTCTCTATAAGGTCGGCTCAGAGAGAGATCACATTTGAAGACAAGCCTGCTAAGGGTAAGAAAAGCACAATGGCCCTGGGTGGAGCAGGGCTGCAGTGGTAGTGGTGGCAGTGGTGGCTGAGCAGGGTCACTGAGTCAAGATCACTGAAATGGGGGCTGAAACCATTCCTTAGGTCTTCAGTGATTCCCAAACAACTCGTGCTCAGCGTGCTAAGTAAGAACCTCTGGGGGGAGAGCTAAATGAATGCGCAGAATCCCTGTCTCAGATGTTGGAGACTGAGTAGGGCAATGACAGGATCCAGCAGTCTTGTTGCAAAAGTTCCTCAGGTGACATGGATTTGAAAATCTCAGATTAAGGGGCAACTGATAAAGCTGGATCCCCGCTTTAGGAATCAACCACAAGGGGGACTATAACCCAAGCCCTAGGTTGGTATGGCTAAGAGACAAGTATTCACGTCCCTAAAAACGTCCAAAGATGTTTTTTTCTCAATGTTATGTGTAAACAGGGGAATTTAACAATTTTTTCTTCTATTGTCCCTCCACCTTGGTTATTTAGTAAGTTTCTTATGGCAGATAATTACAAATATTTTAGGGTTCAAAGTCCATTATTTAGGTACTGCTATAAATGAATGGTTTTGGCTACAAGTAACAATACTCTACCAACAGTAACATAAACAAAGGTCTATTTGTCTCCTGTATTAAGAGGTCCAAAGATAGGCAATTGGCTGGTACTGGTTACAGAGTTCAAGAGTTGGGGCTGACATCTCTGCAGTTCTCTTGGTCCTTGTTTTCCCCTAAAGATTTTATTTATTTTTAGAGGGAGAGAAAAGTCAATGTGTGGGTGCCTCTCCTGGGCCTCCTACTGGGGACCTGTCCTGCAGCCCAGGCATGTGCTCTGTGGGAATCAAACCAGCGATCCTTTGTTTTGCAGGCTGGCACTCCATCCACTGAGCCACAGCAGCTAGGGCAGTTGACCTTTCATGGCTCCAGCCTCTTTGCATTTAAGACTGTGTGAAGGGGAAAGGGCAAGATCACTGGCATTCTGCTCCTGTCTCACTGGCTAGAATTGTATCCCATGGCCACTCCTGGCCGTAAAGAAGGCTGGGAAATTGAGTTTTGTGTTTTTACAGTCTCTGGCAAATGCACAAGAGAAAATGGGGAGATACTGGGTGTTGCTTGAGACAACCTGCAGCATCTGCCACAGCTTTCACATTAAGTTTTATTAAGCATGGCTTAAATCTAGAAACAGCTGATCAGATAATTACTGGGAAACATTGGTATGAAAATCAAGCATAAATATTTCCACTGTCAATAATTGTACATTGTTGTATTGGTCTTTCATTCTCGGTTGGAACCAATTCTAGTTGTTGGAGAACTTCTTTTCCTTCAATTAACTGCCTAATGTAGGAGAAAGTGTGGAAAATTTAGTCAGTCATACATTTTCACATTTAGCTTACATCCCTAAATTGAGTCCTATCTAGCTTAGCTAAGGATATTTCCTACAAATTAAATTAACATCAGTCATAAATATCTTAAATAGCTCTCAATGTGTCTGTATTGCCAGGGTTCCCTTACACCTATCTGGGACTCTTATGATCTGTTACTCTCAGCCATCAGCGTGGAGTTTTAAAAATGCAAATTGATTGATCTTGCTTCCCTGTTTAAAGTACTTCAGTACTTTCCCATTATCCCTGTGCTAAAACTGAATCTCCACTCTGGCCAGCATCCACACACCCCTCTAGGGCTACCTGGCAGTATGCTCTCCTTGCACTCTGCTCCAGCCAGACTGGCTCTCAGTACCTTGGTGTAGCACCTTGAGCCCTTCCTGCCACAGCTGTCTCCTTTGCTCTTGCCCTACCGCAACCCTTTTGCATGGTCACTTCCTGGCCTTCCTTCAGATCTTAGCTCAGTCATCACTTTCTTGTGGAAGTTTCCCAGATCCCTTTATAGGGATTACCAGGGTTAAATTTGATATTTATTTGTATGTTTCTTTGATTCATTTCTGATTCTCTTCTGAGAATTCTCATGCCTTTGCTTAATACTCAACACCTAGCACATACTGAGCACCTAATCAACATCCACTGGATACATGAATAAAAGCTCAAAGCCACATTAGTTAAGAGTCTCTAGACATTGACTAGCCATTAGGTGGAACTCTGATGGTTCAATTAAAAGAGCCCTAAGCACAGCACCAGTGCCCTCTATCCATGCTTGCTTGGGTTGAAGTGTGGCTTCAGAGAAGGAGTAATTTCCATTTCATGTACCTTCAGAGGGACACAGTGCTGACACTGATCATGCTCTAGTCATCTTTGTCATGCTCTATTTTTCCCATCCCACTCAGAAACATGACACACAGAAGGTACATTGTGAGGATGAAGAGCAGGAGAAAGGGGACAGATTCACCTCTCCAAAGAGGTGACACCTAGTCTCCAAATTGGTTTCACGAATACTGAAGAAGCACCTACTGTGTGCACCATGTGCACTGTGATAGGTGTTAGGGCACAAGATGAGTAAGACCCAGTCCCTACTCCAATTGTTCACAGTGTGCCAAAGAGGACAACAACCAGCTTCATCTTGGTAATCAGGGAGGTTTCTGACCTAAGCCTTGAACAGAATTTTGGCAGGTTGAAGGGAGGCAGAACAAACAAGCGAAGGCTCAGAAGTTGTTATGGGAGTGATGGTACTCTGCTCCAGCTGTAGCTCAGCTGCCACATCGACAGCTTCCAAAATCTACATCTCCAGCCCTTGTCCAGCCTGAGCACCTACTCCTGGTATTCAGAAGTTGCCACCTGCTTGTTGTGTCTTAATCCGAATCATAACTTGCCCATGCTAGGTTCATGATCTTCTCTCCCATATCCTTCTGTTTGTATTCTCTATCTTGGGGAATGGTACCAACCATTCAACAGGCTCCAAAATCCTAGGAGTTCCACTAGAACTTCAGTGTCCAACATGGGCATGTGTGGCTATTTAAATTTAGTTAAAATGAAATAAAATTTAGTTCCTCAATTGCATTAGCCATATTTCAAGTACTCAATGGCCATATACAAAATTTGTGGTTAAGATGAAGACTGGCATGAAATTTCTCCATGTAATGAAGAGTTAATAATTATCCCCATGGAGTGGCTGGAATAATGTATACTCAAAAATTCTAACACTTTACATCATTTCAGGGAAGACACTTAAATAATTAAGTAGAGATATGAAACACAAGTGATGAAAAGTATATCATCCATTTTAGGTCCACATGCCTATAAGCATCTTGCTAATAATTTCTGGTAATAATTACCTAAAATAGTCCATATGTTAAATTGCTCAATAAAAAAAGAATTACTTGCACCCTGGCTGGTATGGCTCAGTGGATCAAGTGCTGGCCTGTGAACCAAAGGGTTGCCAAGTTCAATTCCCAGTCAGGTCACATGCCTTGGTTGCGGGCCAGGTCCCCAGTTGGGAACATACAAGAGGCAACCACACATTGATGTTTCTCTCCCTCCTTTTCCCCTCTCTCTAAAAATAAATAAAATCTTTAAAAAAATAAAAAAAAGTTACTTGCAAAGTGGATAGTTTTCATCTATCCCCTCGGTGTTCATGGACAAATAGTTTCATCTCACTTCTGCATGTAAATATAGCTACATTATTAAATACTATGGTTTATTCATAGTAATTAAGAATTGATATCTTTGAGGCTGAATGTAAATGGATGGATGGATGGATGAACATAAGATTACAATAACTGTGCCTACTGAATGGTTTCTATGTTTATAATAGATAAAAAGTTTCTTATAAAATATTTCTAAAAATGTTTGTATTATTTTTGCTTTTCAATTCTCTTTGCTTCTAAATTCTCTTAGTAACTAAAGACAATTTAGAACTAAATTCTCTTATATAATACTGAATCAAATTTTTTGAACCACATTTTTACATATATGAATATAATATACACAAACTTAAATACACATACCCAAAAGCCACATATTTTTTATCTAGGTAGGGAGTCGCTTGTAGTGTGATGTAGAACTGTGAACCATTGCTGTGAGGGCCTTTATTGACCATTCCAAGAACTCCCCTTTTATTATGAGGAATTGAAAAGTTTTCATCTAGAAAACACAAACAGTAGTAGGTCATTAAAATATTTCTATTATCTCAATGGACTGTAACATATAAAGCACAAACAGAACCCTTCGTAACAAGGGTTCGCAATCATCCTTATCAATACATTCCAAATGGCACGTATTCTGTTTGTTTCATTACTTTCACTCAAGTGGGCTGTTAAAAAAGATAAACTGTAGGACTTCCGCCAAGATGGAGGTGTAGGTGGAACCACCTTGCTTCCACGCACAACCAAATCTAAGAACAACTATTTTTAACAATAAAAAACACAACCAAGCCACACAGAAAATTGACAATACGGAGTCCAAAGACAATGAAATGCTCAGCTAAACCGGTAAGAGGAGTGAAGCCAGCAGCGGAGCAGGTTGGCAAAAAAAATCCCCGAATGGGTGGTGCGCAAGCAGCCGACGATGCGGATCACGGGCTAGCTACGGGAGCGCACAGGGAAGAGGCCCGGCTGGCTGTCTGCGGTTGGTTGCATCTGCATGTAGATAAACCAGTGAAGAGGGGAGCAGGTGCAGGGCAGCAGGCTTGCACAATTCCCATCGGATAAACAGGCCCGGGGCAAATGGTGGGACTGGACGGACTGGGCTAGCGGAGAGGACCACCATCCCTCCCTCTCTGACCACGCCCCCACACAGTGTCACAAACCAGCGACCTGGGTGGCCCCATCCTGGTAAACAACTAAGGCTTCGCTCCGCTTACTTAACGGCACAAACAGACCAAAAATGGCTCAAGAACAACTCAGAGCCCCAGAGCCGATCAATCTAAGCGATGAAGAAATAGCCAAACTTTCAGATGCATAGTTCAAAACACTGGTTATCAGGATCCTCATAGAACTGGTTGATTTTAGTCACAAATTAGAGAAACATATGGAAGCTAAACTAATTGAAATGAATGGTAATACAAAGGAAACCAATAGTAATGGAAAGGAGATTGGGACTCAAATCAATGGAGTGGACCAGAAGGAAGAAAAAAATGATCAAACAGAAAAGAATGAAGAAACAAGAATTCAAAAAAATGAGGAGAAGCTTAGGAACCTCCAGGACATCTTTAAAAATTCCAACATTCGAATTATAGGGGTACCAGAAGGGGAAGAATCACGAGTGGAAACCTTATTTGAACATATAATAAAAGAGAACTTCCCCATTCTGGCAGAGGAAATAGACTTCCAGGAAATCCAGGAAGCTCAGAGAGTCCCAAAGAAGTTGGACCCAAGAAGGAACACACCAAGGCACATCATCATTACATTAGCCAAGATTAAAATGAAGGAGAGAATCCTAGAAGCAGCAAGAGATAAGGGGACTGTCACCTACAAAGGAGCTCCCATCAGACTGTCAGCTGATTTCTCAAAAGAGACCTTACAGGCAAGAAGGGGCTGGAAAGACGTATTCCAAGTCATGAAATCCAAAGACCTACAACCAAGATTGCTCTATCCAGCAAAACTTTCATTTAGAATGGAAGGACAGATAAAGTGCTTCTCAGATAAGACCAAATTCAAGGAGTTCATCATCACCAAGCCCTTATTATATGAAATGTTAAAGGGACTTATCTAAGAAAAAGAAGATAAAAAAGATGAACAGTGAAAGGACAGCAAACTCAGTAACAACCACACCTAAAACAAAAGCAAACTAAGAGGACAGCTAGATCAGGAGCAGAACCATAGAAATGAAGATCACATGGAGGGTTAGCAACAGGGGAGTGGGAGGGGGAGAAGGTACAGAAAATAAGTAGCATAGACAGTAGATAGAAAATAGGGGGAGGGTAAGAATAGTAGGGAAATACAGAATCTAAAGAATTTGAGACACGTGTTCATGAACTAAAGGGGGAAATGGTGGGGGAGGGGTGTGCAGGGTGGAGGGGAATGGAGGAGGGGAATAGAACAAATGTAATGGCATAATCAATAAAAAAGTTTTAAAAAATTAAAAAAAGATAAACTGTAAAGTCCTGTTAGAACTATTTGAGCATTTACTAAGAATATTAATAACGTAAAGGAAAGTATGTTAAATTAGTAACGTAAAAGGAAGCACATGCTTTCCTTAGGATTAAAGGTCAGCAAATTTTCTTGTGCTGTTTTATCAGTAGTATTTCATTCAAACTACCAACCAATGTGATAATTAAAAACTTCTCTTTTGAGAAGGCTTTTTCATTTTTTTATTTTGTATTTATTTATTTTGAGAGAGAGGGAAAGGGAGGGAGGAAGAGACAGAGAAAAATCAATGTGTGAGAGATACATCCACTGGTTGCCTCTTGAGCACCCCCACTGGGAACCTGGCCTGAAACAGGCGTGTGCTCTGACTGGGAATCGAACCGGCGACCCTTCTGTTCACAAGTTGGCATTCAATCCATCGAGGCACACCAGCCAGAGCTGGGAGGCTTTCTTGGACATGACCCTTCCCTTCATAGCATCTTATACAAACCTCTTCTGTGGTCTTTATAACACTCTATGTAATTGTTTACATGATTGCTTCCTCTCTAGCATGTGAAGGCAGAGACCTTGCCTCATTGTAGCTTTACCCCAAGGGCCTCCCTAGTAGATTACCTGGCATATATGTGGCCCAAACTGTTGATAATGAAAGGAAACTAATTTATGCTTATTTGTGGTAGTCTTAAATAAATTTTTATCTCAAACTTGAACCTGTATGGATTGACCAAGATTTTGTTGAAGGTGGGGTTTTTTGTTTGTTTGTTTTTAGTGTAAGGTTAATAGGTAAAAAGAATTGTATGGTGGTTATTCTAGTATTTTCAGGAATTACCATTTCCAGCATAAAATAAGATTTGCCTCCAAACTCAAAAACACAGAAGGAAGTGGTGGGAGAGAGAAATCCAGTATAGGTTTTCATTCAATAACTTTCATTCAATTTCTTTTTATAAAATTCTGGGGATGACTGAGAAATAAGAATATTAACTGTCAATAAGATTTTCTTAAATTGCAATTGCTGACTATTCTTAAGTTTCAAAGCTAAGCCAACTAAGCAATTAAGTCGTATCTGTGATGGTCGCTTTTACCTTGTTAAATTGCAAACCTCTGAAACCAACCTTATTAAATGAAAATGGAGCATTTTTGTATGAATGAATATGGTTACATTAATGCTCCATATTATTTTCAGTGGAATAGTGAAATAATCCATTAATTTCACAGAATATTGCCTAGAATAGAAATCTGCCCTAAGATTCAGTTTTAAAATGGTGTTTGTCATTGCTCTTAGATATTATGATTGCTTTTAAATTCTGTAAGTAATAGGAAAAAAGTATAGAATAGTTGTAACACTTTTAGCAAAAATTTGTGGTTATGGGAGAACTTTTAATACAGTTAACCCTCGTAACTATTTTAAAAACACTGCCTGTGTGAAAGCCCATGTATAAAGCCAATTAAATGGCCTGGAATCCTCTTGTCTCTGAGGATACCTTGTCAGTACCCCATGGAAGAACTCCTTAAAGGGCAGCTTGAAAACCACTGCTATAAAGGGGCAGAAAGAAAAAAAAATGTTTTTAAAAGGTGTAGGTAGTCCCTGAACTACAAATTTAAAATTTGTTGACCTGAAAAAAAAGTGTGAAAAATAAATGACTTAGGTGGTTGATTCTGTAAGGACAGAATGTTGATGTGAAATGTAAAGAGAGACCTGAGGCTGTGCTGCTTCCAGGCAGCAGTGGTGGCGGGTCAGAGGGAAACCACTCCGTGACTGACTGCCACCAACAGCTAAAGCCCGTGGGTGCAACTGGACCTGCTCCTAGGAAGCATCCCGTTTATTTGGGAGTGGGGTTGGAGAGGCATCCTCTCCTATCCTAGTCTTCCACAGCTCCTGGAGGGGCCTTGGCCTGCAACAACAAGCTGTGGTGGTATTCCATATCCACCAGACAGGAGCTGTGGCTGGGACTGGGCTGTTGGTACCTGTCTCAGCAGCTCACTTGGGAAATGAAGTGGACCCTCACCTGTGCATAGTGTCCACTGAAGGATGGGAGCAAATGGCACAATAGAGTTCAAAACAGAATTTTATTAGATTGTATTTATTTTTACAGTGAGGGAAAGGAAAGGAGAATGAGGGAGAGAAACATCAATGTGTGAGAGAAACATCAGTTAGCTGCCTCTTGCATGCCTCCCAACCAAGGATTTGGCCTGCATCCCAGGCATGTGTCCCAACTGGGAATCAAACCAGCAACCTTTGAGCTTGCAGTATTATGCTCAACCAGCTGAGCCATGCTTGCAAGGGCCAAAATGGAATTTTTTTCTTTAAAGAAACTTTACTGAAAAATGGCTATCCTAATAGTATATTTACAGTAACAGAAATATTTTTACACAAGTTAATAATATTAAAATGGGTAACAAAAACCCGAGGTTTAATTAAACATTTGTTCATTCACCAAATTTATTGAATGTCTGCTACATTCCCAATGCAGTTCCAAGTACTGAGTTTAACATTTATGACATATAAAACATATAAATTTAATCTGCTCACATAATTTTTTGAAGACAAGAAAAAAAACCCTAAGCGAACAATAGTTTTCTTTTTCTGCTCACTATGTCTGAGCAGGTGGTTAACTATCATAGATTATTTTAATTCTGTCACAGCACTGTGTGGGAATGGGAAATATGAACAGTCTACAAAATAAATGTTTTGAAGTAGAAGGAACAAAAAATACATTTTTTAAAAATTGCTGGGCAAAATTAGGGAAATAAAAAATGCTTTGAAGTGATAGCTAAATCAGAATATTTAATAAATTTTATTTGTAGGTCACGTAACAGGCATGGGCTTTCAATAAAAAGTAAAAGAGAAAGTTAAGGAAATTCAAAGGCTGTGATACAAATGAGAACCCTCTCATTCTACTGTGACTCAGGAGTCCCTGCCTGTCTCTGCCACCTGCAGGAAGACAGGGAATGGCAGTTATAGTTCTGTGGTTAAAACTGGTTTTATTTGTAATATACAACATTAAGAGCGAGAACTGCTTGTTTGAAGTAGAAATCAGAATTTATGTGAAAAATATCAGT